TTTGGCCCCATCTGTTCAGCTTTTAATGAATAACTTGACTAAAGCTACAAAAGGCAAGTTTATTAAAAATGTGTGTGTCCTAAGGCTGGGAGAGAATGATTATACTAAATGACAGAATTTTAAAAAAAGAAATCTCATCAGGCAGGGAAATGGGGCAGATGAACTATGTAAAATGTAAGATTGTAAGATCTCACACTGCAGTTATTAAAAAAAAAAATTGTACAAGGTCAAGACAGACCCTGGTGTTGCCTCCTGCAGCAAACACCGGGGAAAGAAAGCCTGCGGCCTCCGTCCCAGCAAACTGGGTGCCAGGGCTGGGGTCTGGGGGTCCCGTCTCCCGGGCACCCTGTGCGGAGACAGCGTGGTTCCTAAGACGCTGCCCTAACCGGGAGGCCGTGCGGCAGAAACGGCCCTGAGACTTGGGAGCGGACGCAGCAGAAAAAAAGGGTGTAAATGCAGCAGGCGGGAGGGCAGAAACATGAACAGTGAAGCAAGAGGAGCCGGGGGCGCGGATGAGCTGGGGGCGGCCGGCCGGCAGACCTGCCGCTGGTTTCAATGAGTCGCACTTAGGAGCGAAGGGGAACCAGGCTCTAGCAACCTAAGGAGAATGGAGTCCAGGGCTGGTGAGTGAGCCTCCGGGAGGAGACGCAACAGCGTCCAGAGACGGCCTTCCACCCACAGCTGCCTCGACGGACTGCTCCTCCGCCCTCAGGTGAGTGGGGAGGTGGGCTGGGGGGCGCGGGGGGGGCACGGGGGCCCCAGAGAACGGCCGGCAGAGGCCGGCCCATAGCGACCAGAGAGGTGACACCGTTGCTCCGAATCCCCGCTCTCAGACGCCCGGCGCCCGCCCTCCTTCCGTGCACCCGGGCTGGGGGGCCGAGCGCCGCCGTCCAGGGGACGAGGGCCCACCTGGGGCCCAGCTCCGCCACCGCGAGCCCCCAGGCGCCCCGACGGTGCCGCGCGGCCAGCTTGAGAACCGCCTCGCCGGCCCAGCCGCGCGGACGAGCCCGGCCGCCGACCCTCCAGGCCCGGGGGTTCCCGGGCTCGGCGCGCGCTGGGGCCTGCCAGCCCCGAGGCCGCCCCGGAGCTCAGCGCCCGACAGGGCCCGGAAGCCGGGCCCAGGACGACGCCGCGCGGAGGCCCACCCCGAGGACCGCCGCCGCGGTCACCTGCTAGGCCCCACAGGCCCCACTCCCCCGGGGCCGGAGGTTGGCCGCGGCCTGCTGGGTGGAGCGCGGCCTGGTCTGCGCACCCCCTTTCCGTCCCCCCACCTCGAGAAGGGAGGCCTCCGGGCTGCAGCCCCGTGAAGGGAACGGTGTGCCAGCGGCCGGGGGGGCCTTTGGAGGTGGACGAGGGCCCGTCTCAGCGCTGGCGGCCTCAGATCTGAGCCGGGCCTCCCTGTCCCTCCGTCAGGCCCCTTTCCCACTCGCCCCGTCAGGACCACTGCCCCTCCTACATCGACTAGAGTTACCTCCACCCCACCAGCCAGGATGGGGTTCTGGCTGCGCCACCAGCATCCTTGGGAGGTGTGTGGCCTGGAAGACGGCGTCGTCGGGAGACCCTTTATCCCCGCGGGCTGCGGTTGCCAGATAGAATAGAGAATGCCCAATTACATCCTACTTGCAGATGAATAAACATACTTTTGGGGTGTATGCATGTCCCATGCAGTATTTGGGACATACTTAAGCTGTAAAATGTTTTGACTACCAGAAATTGAAATTGGAAAAGACCCAGATGCTGGGAAAGACTGAGGGCAAATGGAGAAGGGGACGGGGGCAGAGCATGAGATGGTCAGATGGCATCACTAACTCAGTGGACATGAATTTGAGCAAACTCCAGAAGACAGAGGAGCCTGACGTGCTGCAGTCCATGGGCTCACAGAGAGTCGGACACAACTGAGCCAGTGAACAACAATAAATACACCTGAGCATCCTGTTTTTTATCTGGCAGCCCCTATCCAGGGAGTCCCTCTGGGTAGCATTTCCTCATGGAATTTACCCTTTCTTGGCCCAAAGCAGGATCTTGCCAATATCTTTGAGTTAATCACTTGTGGAAACTCATCCACACTGACCAAGCTCATGAAGGTCGGAAGTGTAAAGCCAAGTGCTCATGCACTGCATGAATGAAGATGAATCCCATGGCCGGAAATGTCGCTGGAGTGGAGACAGGGCTTCCTCACTTGCGGATCTGCTGTGGAGCCGGATTATAACCCTCATTGCACTTTGCTTCTCAGGGGCAGGAAGCTGCACCTTGCTCAGCTGCCTGCCAGGTGCTGGCCATGAACCTGGCATCCCAAGCAGCTGTTTAATGAGTAACTACATGTCAGATGGACTCAGAGAGAGAGGCAGTGAGTGCCATTAGGTGTTCTCGGCCATGGGCTCCGGCCCAGGTCCTTTTCAGCACTTCTCCCCACCGAGGGGGCATCTTGCCAGCAGAACCACAGGGTCTGAGGTGGATGCTACCCTGGGCAGTGCTCACTGTACATGGCCTCACAAGACCCCTGCTCTTAAACGGATACGAACAGGGATTCTGAGGTCCAGAGGAGGTTTAACTCCCTTGGTCATTGTTGTTGTTCAGTCATTAAGTCATATCTGACTTTTGCAACCCCATGGACTGTCCATGGGATTCTCCTGGCAAGAATACTGGAGTGGGTTGCCATTTCCTTCTCCAGGAGATCTTCCTGACCCAGGGATCGAATCCACATCTCCTGCATTGCAGGCAGATTCTTTAGCACTGAGCTGCCTGGGAAGTCCCTTGAATGCCCTACTCTGCCCCTCACTGGATGTGTGACCTTGAAAAACTGGCCCAGGAACAGTTACATTTTAGCATATATCTCGGTTCCTCCACTGGGTGCTGATTTTGTCTTGTAACTCTTAGAAGAATTTTAGAGAGGGCTGCTCAGACGGCCCCCAGCCTGCATGTGGAGGTCAGCAGGGTCATTTAGCTCACCTATATTATGTCTCTGTCCTTTAGAAGAGTGGCTACTGATGCGGTGGCCACTAATCACATGTGACCGTTTAAACTCAAGTTAAATGCAATGAGAAATCCTGTTTCTTAGCTGCGTGACACACACATCTCAACATTTCCGTCATCTGTTGGACAGCACTGCTCTAGACTCATATTGAGATTTTTCCACACATTCACACAGCATATGATAGCAGATCAATGAAAACTCATTTACAGGTCAAGTCTCCAGCACACCAACCACCCAGAAATGATTCATTTACCCAATAAATATTTTTTCTTCTGACAATAACAGGGCTTCCCTGGCGGCTCAGCAGATAGAGAATCCTCCTGCACTGCAGGAAACGTGGGTTCAATCCCTGGGTTGGGAAGATCCCCTGGAGAAGGGAAAGGCCATCCACTCCAGTATTCTGGCCTGGAGAATTCCATGGACTGTATAGTCAATGGGGTCGCAAAGAGTCGGACACAACTGAGCGAGTTTCACTGCCAATAATACCCACAAACAGTACAGCCAAGTGTTACTTTAACCTGTACATTTAAGATAGTACTACTGAATAGCTTCAGAGAAAAATTCCAATAAAAATGATTAAAAGTATGACAGGGAGCTAACTGAAAATTAAGACTTAATGAAAAGAGTGTATAGTTCAACCCAAAGAGCAAGTCTGCTGAATTTTTGGTTTGGCTTCTTCCTTTGAAATCAGGATCTTAATTCCTCTTCCTGCTCCCCTAGAGCTGTTAAAAGCAAGGTGATAGGATGACAGCCTGGGTCTCCTTCCTGTCTGTCCCCGGGGAGACCTGGAAGCAAGACTGCACCCTGCAGCCCTGATTTAGAGTTTACCCCACGAAGAGGTTGGCTGCTGGGCAATCTGTAGCTGGCCGATGGCAACCTGTAGACGACCCCAAGACTTCCAAACAGGTTCTGCCCCCATAATAAGGGATATGCCCATGGACAGGAGGTTTCCCCTGTGGCTCAGTGGTAAAGAATCCACCTGCAATGCAGGAGACAGAGTAGACTCTGGTTCGATCCCTGGGTTGGGATGATCTCCTGGAGAAGGAAATGGCAACCCACTCTAGTATTCTTGCCTGGTAGGCAACAGTCCATGGGGTCACAAAGAGTCAGACATACCTGAGCGACTAACCACACACACACACATGCTCAGGGGTGGATGAAAGCTCAGTCTGGGAATTTTGGTTCTCCTTGAAAGCACAGCCTGGCATGCTGCAGTCCCATGGAGTCGCAGAGTCCACAAGTGAGTGACTGAACTGAACTGAAAGCATCCACAGCCCACTTTCCAGGCAGCATATTCTCCCCAAAGCCCTACTCAATCCTGGAACTAGACCGTTGTATCTGCCTGGATGCCCATTTACCTAACAGGGGCTTTCAATCTCAACTTCTGAAGCTCGGTAAGCTTGTTGGATAAAATAATGGTGCCAGTAACAATGGTGAAAACTAATGTTTGTTGGAAGCAATCTGTGCCAAACATGCAAATGCATTATTTCATTTAACCCAACAAATGACCTGCCCCAGGTCACACTTAAGTGATGGAGCCAGGCTGTGAACCCAAAGGTCCATGCCCAGAGCCACAAGGCTAATTACTGTGTCAGTCAGGGTTCAATCAGGAGAGAAACCACATAGTAATTCCATCAGGGAGAATGTAGATTTAAAAATGACTAACTGTAACAGAAGGTTGGAATAACACGAAAAAGGTAAGGAATGCTCAGAAGAAATTAGAAGGAGCAGATGTAAGGTGCAGCCACTACCCTGAGGCTGAGGACAGGCATCCAGGGAGGAGTCCTTCTCTTCCCCCGGGTTTAAATTCAGACCTTGGGGAGATACAGCGGTCTGCTCTGTGCCGGTGGAAACTCCTGGACTTGCGTCTCTAGAACGTGCCTGACAACTGTTCTTTGGACGGGAGAGTGTCTCATGGGGCAGACGGCCCAAGGTGATTCTCGAAGAAGGGGCTGCCCACTGCGTGTTGTGACCACCGTGGGCTGTAGGAGCTGACACTGACGATCCACCCGTCCTGCAGGAGCCGATGCATCCACCCCCGGAGCCAGGCTCCCGCGGGAACCCGGAGCGGGCGGGGATTCAGGCCCTAGGAGGCGGGTGCTGGGCCAGCACGTGGCCCGGCCTGCAGAACGAGCTCGTGGATCCAGAAAGGGTTCTCTCTCATCTTCTTCCGGCGCCTCCACGGAGGAAGCTTCATGCCACCTGGCAAGAAAGCTGCTTCAGAGAGCGGGCAGTGAAGGTGCACTCCGAGCTGGAGACCATGTGCGGATGACTCCCGCACTGCTGGGTCACAGACCGTCTCCACCGAGAGAGGGGAGTGACATGGCGCGGGGGTCAACAGCTTGAGCGCGGAGCCCGAGAGACCCCGGCCGAAAGCCGCCTCCACTGTTCTCTGTACCCGCTCTATGACCCTGGACAGAGCGCTTTCCTATTGCTTCAGAGTCTTTATTTCTCCCAACATTTTTTTTTTTTTTTGCTATGAAAACTTCTATCTTTGAAAATTTTGAAAAATTAATACAGTGAACCCCTATCATTTCTTCTCCAGTTTTTGTGCTTCTAATCATTTTCTCTTGCCATATTTCATTGGTTAATACCTACCGTTGCCAAGACTGAGCAGAGGAAAATATAGGATGCATAATTAAATTTCAGGTAGCACATAGTTTCTCAGTGTGAGCATGTCCCATACAACGTCTGGAGAATTCTAATTGAAGTGGGTGTCTGGTATTTTACCTGGCAGCTCTGCTTCCTAGAACACTGTAATTCTGTCCTTGGGCACCTTCCACTTTCCCCTCACAAACGTTCCTACAATAACTCAGACTTTGACTTCAATACCAAGGTGTGTTTTTTCTATCGTGTTAAAGTTTTTGCAGTTCCTAATTTATTAAGTCTTCTTATTAGCAAGAGATTTTGTTGTAAAGCCTTTTGTGTAACCATGGAGATAATCATAGAATTTTCTTCCTTAACTTTATCTACATGTTGTATTATGTAGACAGATTTCCTAATTTATAACCATTTTGTATTTCTAGGTAAAACTTAGATAACTTGGTCACAATTCATTCTTTTTAAATAAATTGTTAGTTTCTATCTGCTAATTAAAAAAATTTTTTATTAATGTTTGTAAGTGAAATTGGTTTGACTTTCTGTGTTTACTCATTAGTGTTATTCTTGGTTCACAAAAATAATTTGAAAATTCCTTTTTTTAAAATATTTTAGAATATTAGAATTATCTGGACTTTGAAAAATTCCTGATAGAACTATTTGGTTCTGTACTTCTTGTGGATTGGATCTGTAACAAATTCCTCTATTTCCTTTAAGGACACTGCTTATATACAGTGTTGGGGTCAATGTTGATAAATTGCATATTCCTAGGAAATTATATATTCTGTCTGCATTGAAAATTTTATTTGCATAAAATTGTACAAATTAAGTTCTTACAATTTTTGTTTACTGTCTTTAATGGCTTTTTCCCCCTTAACACTTCTTATTTTATTTGCGCATTTTCCCAGGTCTCCCTTGATTAGGTTAGATACTGGTTTTTATATTTCATTGCTCTTTTCAAAGAATTTGTGACTTGATGTATGTTTTTCTGTTTATTTCTTCTTTAATTTTTTATTGCCATCTTTCTTATGCTTTCTTTAGATTAGTGAATTTTTCATTTCTACCATTTGAGCTGGCAATCTAATTACTTTTATTCACAAGTATTTACCCTTAATTATTAAGTATTTAATGTTATTACTTTTTCCTATCACTATTTTAAGTGGGAAATACAGTGATATATAGCATTTCCATTATCATAATTTAAAAGACATTTTGCAGTTAAGATTTCCGTTTCTGCTCTAACCAAAGACTTATTTACCACAGGTATTTTTAATGATTGAAGAGCCTGTTGAGTGGCTGTGAAATGTTTGGTGTCAGTGTCCTGTGTCTGCCTGTTGAAACCCCTGTGACCATGTGAGCAGTCTCCATGGGGATTCCATGTGCTCCTGAGAAGAAGTGATTTTTCTCTATTTTAGGGTATATATTTTTTAAAAAATATTTTAATTTGAATACTGTTGATTTGCAAATGTAAGTTCATTTCAGGTGTCCAGCAATGCAGTTCAGTTTTGCATGTATTTTTTCATATTCTTTTCCATTATAAGTTATTACAAGATATTGAATAGAGCTGTCTGTGCTATCCAGTCGGTCCTTGTTGCTTATCTAGTTCATATATAGCGGTTAGTATCTGCTAATCCTGTTCTTACAATTTATTCCTCCCCCTCCTCCCCCCTTTGTTAACCACATGTCTGTACTCCTTACCTGTAAGTCTGTTTCTGCTTCATAGACATGTTCATTTGTGTTGTATTTTAGATTACCCATAAAAGTGATATCATATGGTATCTGTGTTTCTTTGTCAGACTTCCTTCACTTAATATAATGATCTCTAGGCCCATCCATGTTGCTGCAAATGATATTATTTCATTCTTTTTTATGGCCGAGTAATATTCCATTGTATATACGTATCACACCTTCTCTATCCATTCCTCCAACACTGTACACTGAGGTTGCTTCCATGTCTTGACTATTTTAAATAGTGCTGCCATGAACATATGCTTTTTTTAGTTTTTTATTAGAGTGTAAATTTTGATATATAGCTGTGCCTTCTACCTGGTTGATTGTGGCTTGTTTTGTTTCAGTTCTTCTGAATTTTTAAATGTTTTCCATTCATGCTCTGTCTTGGACTGTGAGTAGCATATTAAAATCACCGATCACTGTAGTTTCTGCTTTGTGCAGGTAGCTGCTATTTTATTGATATATAGTTACTGATAACCTTGTCCCTTGTGCATATCATACCACTGGGTTTGTGTTGTAAGCCACTTGGAAACTCTCTTTCTTTTAACAGATGAGCCCATTCCATTTATATTAGTTGATGACTAACAACTTTGATGTTAAATCTGTCATATTACTTTAGGTTATATTTTTTTGTCTGTATGATATTATGTATTTACTGTTTCGATGTGATCTGTTTCTCTGATCATTTTAGCATTTACTTTATAGGTTTTTTTAAAAATTGGGGTAAGACTCACATAACATAAGCTCAGCCACTGGAAAGTGACGGTTGGGTGGCATTTAGTACCACCACCTCTGCCCAGTCCCAGGAGCTTCCTCCCCCAAGGAAGCCTGAGCTCAACCAAGCACTGACTCCCCATCCTGCTCTCCCTTGAGTCTCTGGCAACCTCCAACCCAGTTTCCATCTGGATTTTAAGTTGCTTTTGTGAGTGCCTGGTGACATTCATATCAGCAGAAGAATTCCACTGGAATGGCTTTAGGTGTGCAGGTCAGTGGCATTAATTGCTCACAGCGTTGTGCAGCCCTCCCCACTATCTCTGAAGTTTTCTGAAGCCCCAGATGAACGCTCTCTGCCCTGGAAGCAGTGGCTCCGCTCTCCCCTCTGCCCCAGCGCCCGTTACCCTCTGCGCTGCCTCCGTCTCCGTGACCGTGCCCACCTGAGCACTCGTGTGAGTGAGTCACACAGTGTCCATCCTCTGTATTTATCTCATTCAGCACGATGACGTCAGGCTTCACCCTGCTGTAGTCTGTGTCCGAACTCCATTCCATTTTATGGCTGAATACTGTTCCATTGTATATATGCACCATGTTTTATCATTCATTTCTTGATGGACACGGGTTTTTTCCACTTCTGGGCTGTGATTCACTGGCCTGAACGTTTGCATCTGAATATCTGTTTTGGTTGTTTAAGTGATTACACTACTAACTACCATGGTAATTCTGTGTTCAGCTTTTTGAGGAACCAACCATTTCTACGGAGGCTGTGTCGTTTTTATATTTCTATGCAGATTCTCTCAGTCACGTCTGACTCTTTGCAACCCCACGGACTGTAACCCACCAGCTGCCTCTGTTCATGGGATTTTCCGGGCAAAAACATGGGAATGGGTAGCCATTCCCTTCTCCAGGGGATCTTCCTGACCCAGGGATCGAACCCAGGTCTCCTGCACTGCAGGCAGATTCTTTACCATCTGAGCCACTTCCCTAGCTTTTGTTTCTATAGGCTCCTTCAGAAAGATCCCTTAATAGAAAGCTTTGTTTCCATGGGATCCTTAATTTCTACCTCTTGCTTCACCCTCCCCCATCACAGCCAAGTTCCTCCCCCTCTTCTAGAAAGTGCTCTCCCTAGATTTCCGTCTCAAATTCTGGACACTTTCATGTCCTTGCTTTCCCGTCCCTCTGAGCCAGCGCCTAGCTCCCCCAGGTCTCGGAGCGGAATGGCCTCCACCAGCGGGGCCCCTCTGTCTGGCGCTGGTTTTTCCCATGTTTTCCCACAACTAGCCCGTACCCGGCTCCTCTCCTGTGTTTCCCGTGCCGTTTCTGGGTCTCCCCTTCCGCAGGGGTTCTAGAGCTGCCTCACGTTTGTTTCTGATACTTCTTTTCCTACTCAATGTGCAACTTAAAGTCTCGAACGCTCTTCTCCTTTCAAGGACAACATGCTGTATCGTGTTTTTAAGGGTACTTTCCCTTGAACTCCCTTGTTATTGGAATGGTTTTGCAGGATTTATGGATATACTCTTATCTGGACGGCTGACATTATCCCATGAGAACCAGGAAGACTCTCTTCCTTATCCTTTATCTTAAAACAAGGATGCTCAGAGCTTAACTCTCAGGGTTATTTCGGGGTCAAATGAGGTAATAGAAGAGACAGTGTTCCTAGCCTAGTACACAGCACGTGAAGGGCTCAGCTTGTTTTCCTTGCTGTTATCGTTGTTGTTCTTATCATTCTTATCCACCGTGTGAGTCGTCACCAGAAAGGATGCTTTCTCAGGACCCTCAGGCGTCAAGGATCCCGGAAGAAGGAAAGTCTGAGTTTTAGTTCTTGATTCTCCCTTACTAGCCATGTTTTCCTTGCTGATTCAATTTGAGCTTGGCAAACAGCTACCATTTCTAGAAATGCATTTTTTTAAAAATATTCTGATATTTTTTCTAGTGAGGCTAAAGCCTTCTCCAAAAGCAGTTAACCGGAAAAGCAGACGGGGTGGTGATGGACACAAGCGCCAGTGGGCTGGGTGGGGCGTCGGGGGGCGCCCTCGGCCTGAGCCGCCTGCACGTGGTCCCGTTTTGTAAGATTCTCTTTTCCAAACCCAGCAGTTTCTCGGTCTTCCCCTTGCCTCCGTCCCCCCCGCCTTCATTTCTGTGCCTCCCCTTCTCTCCCCGTCTTGCTCCCTCCCCCACACAGGGGGCTGCTCTGCGGCGCATCACCTGCGTGAACAGCTTATATTTAGAACATCCCTCCTCCCAGACTGGAGTTCACGTGGCCCCTCTCGCTCGGTTTCCGCCTCGTTTCCCCGCGGCCTTTGCTAAACCCCAGGTGCGCTCTGTAGGACACGTGACGCCTGCCGGCCAAAGGCCTGGCTCAGGGTGGCCCCCGGGAAACGCTGGCCCTGGACCGCAAGCCTTGAAGGAGCCGCAGCGTTGATTCTCGCATCGCCCCTCAGGCCGTGACCCGCGATATGTCAGGAGCCGCTGTGGCCGCACAGAAATCAAGAATACCCAGTTGTTATGGCGCAGGAATCCATGGAAATCGCTCCAGTCGACCTGCTGACTTCAGAGCGGGAATGTCGCTCTTTCCCCGGGATCAAGGGAGTGGGGCACATGACCTGAGTCCCTGGAAACATGGGAGCTGAGTCAGGGCTTCTGAGATGCCCCATCCTAGTCCTGGGACCTGTGGCTGTCGTCTTACACGTCAGAGGAGGTTACTGCAGGTGTGATTAGGAATCTCGAGACGCGATTACCCTGGCACTTGTGCAATGCGGGGGCCTGATCAGGTGCGGGAGACGGGGCCAGGGTAGGGATGCGGCGCTGAGACAGGAAGGGAGGTGTGGACAGAAGCAGGAGGAAACGGTCACAGCGAAGGACGTGATTGGCCTCCAGAAGCCAGAAAAGCAAGGCAACTGGTTCTTCCCAAGGGTTTCTGGAGGGAACCGACCCTCAGTTCAGTTCAGTTCAGTCCAGTTCAGTTGCTCAGTCATCACCCCATGGACTGCAGCAACAACAGGCTTCCCTGTCCATCACCAACTTCTGGAGTTTACTCAAGCTCATGTCCATTGAGTTGGTGATACCATCCAACCATCTCATCCTCCGGCCTTCATTCTTTCCCAGCATTAGGGTCTTTTCAAATGAGTCAGCTCTTCGCATCAGGTAGCCAAAGGATTGGAGTTTCAGCTTCAACATCAGTCCTTCCAATGAACACCCAGGACTTATCTCCTTTAGGATGGACTGATTAGATCTCCTTGCAGGCCAAGGGACTCAAGAGTCTTTTCCAATACCACAGTTCAAAAGCATCAATTCTTTGGCACTCAGTTTTAAGTCCAACTCTCACATCCATACACGACCACTGGAAAAACCATAGCTTTGACTAGACAGACTTTTGTTGGCAAAGTAATGTCTCTGCTTTTTAATATGCTGTCTAGGTTGGTCATAACTTTTCTTCCAAGGAGTAAGCGTCTTTTAATTTCATAGGTGCAGTCACCATCTGCAGTTTAGCCCAGAGAGACTGGTTTGGAACCTTCCAGACCTCCCAACCTCAGATCTGTAAGGGATGCATCTGTGTTCTTCAAAGCCACTGAATTTTTGCTGATTCATTGCAGTGACAATTAAGAAAAAAAAAACAACTAATACTGTCAGTGCTAATTCTCTTAACAAAATGTATTTACTCTACACTTAACATTTCACCCCAGTAGTTAAGGGACTCGCCCAAGTTCACAGGGATGGTTACAGGCAAAGTGCCAGTTAGAACTAGGGTGACCATACCTGTCTGTTGGCTTCTGACGCATAACCTATAACCCTGAACTTACTGCTTTAGAACAATGAGCCTTTGTTCAGCTAACAACCCTACTCAGCAACCAGAGCTGCCTCACCTGGGTGGGACCTCTGGTGTTGGTTGGACTGAACCACAGTCTCCCCTCCTGCCAGGTGAGGGGCTGGTGGGCTGGGAGGGGTCCCCTCTATGCCACCCACCCCTTCAGCCTCCATCAGACCGTCCTCAGGGCAGCTGGGCGGGGCCCCAAGAGAAGCCCTGAAAATACACGAGGTGGGCTGAGGCCCAGGCATGGAATGCACACGCCACCCCCAGGGGAAGGGGGCTTCCCTGCTGGCTCAGAGGGTAAAGCGTCTGCTGGCAATGCAGGAGACCCGGGTTCGATCCCTGGGTCAGGAAGATCCCCTGGAGCAGGAAATGGCAAGCCACTCCAGTACTCTTGCCTGGAAAATTCCATGGACGGAGGAGCCTGGTAGGCTACAGTCCATGGGGTCGCAAAGAGTTGGCCACGACTGAGTGGCTTCGCTTCACTCCTTCACTTCACTCCCACTGCAGCTTTGGTTCCATGGACGGAGAAGCCTGGTAGGCTACAGTCCATGGGGTCGCAAAGAGTTGGCCACGACTGAGTGGCTTCACTTCACTCCCACTGCAGCTTAACGGCCAAAGCCGGGTTGTATGAAGAGCCCAGACCGGAGAAGGGGAAGTAGGTTCCTCGTTCTGTGGAGAAGCTGCAAAGTCGCCCTAGAGAGGACAGGGGCGGACCTGGAAGGGTGAGGGGTTTTGCAGGTATCTCTTGGTATAATTCACATCTTAAAACTTTGAAAATAAAAGGGGGGTGCCTTTAGGAATTCCCTGGAAACAGCAGATGGAAACCCAGGCTGTGCCGGTTGTCAGGCTGCTAGGGGCCTCACCCTCCCTGTCACTCCCACCCCCTGGGCAGGGTTCTCCCAGATTAAGATGCTGCTTCGCTGACCGGGTTGGGGAGGGGTGTAGTGCAGAGGTCAGACCAGGCCAAGATGAGCACGACTGCTGTTCCTGGTGTCCGGGGAAGCACCCCCAGAGACGTCGTTTGCCCACCTCTCCCTGTAACCAGGGGGGCGTCTTCTTCTCCCCCGGGAACCCCATGTCCACGTGGTCATCAGAGTCTGACCGTCAGCGCCCTCCGTCGCCGCTATCACACTCTGTGCTGGCTGCTTCCGTGAGTGTGTGCACCCTGCAAGCGTACATTTATAAATAAACACAATTTACAGAGTCTCCACTGGAAGCTTTTCCTGGAGGCTTGAATGTAGCAAGCTCACCTCGGAAACTTGGAACCTCGTCACAGATTTCTGTTGCCCTGACCTATAGGGGATCTGGCCTCTTTTTTTTTTTTTTCCTAATCCTGCCAACCTTTTCAAAGCTTATTTCAAAAGCCTTTTTATGGCTTGGTTTATAAAAAGCTCTATTTTCCCTTCAAATAACATAATATCTTTGAAACATGAAGACTTTCTCCATCAGGTTTAGAAATGTTTGTCCTATGGTTTGAAGTCAGCAGCTGGGGTGTTTGGGAATGTATTTAGAAAGCTAGCAAACCTAATATGTGTGGTGGTGGCTTTTTAATAACCTCCCAGCAAGCAAACCATTTTGGGAGGTCATTCAGCTGATAGCGACTGATTGGTCTGCTTCCATCTTGAATGGTCTTTTTAAAAACTTTCTCTATTTGGCCGTGCTAAGTCTTGGTTGCTGCACAGGCTTTCCCCTAGTTGTGGCGAGCGGGGGCTTCTCCCTGCAGTGGCGTCTCTTGTTGCAGAGCTTCTTGCAGGGATCTAGGGTGTGAGCGCTTCGGTTGTTGCCCCGCGTGGGCTCGGGAGTTGCAGCCCCCCGGCTCTGGAACACAGGCTGGGCGGTTGTGGCACCCAGGTTTCGTTGCTCCTTGACGCATGGGGTCTTCCTGGATCGGGGATGGAACCCATGTCTCCAGCAATGAGCCATCAAGGAAGTGCTATCTGGTTCCCTCTTATCGTCACCAGATTGGGTTTCTGGAAGCATTCCCCTCCCTCTTGGTGAAGTCTAAAGCCCCTGTTTGGCTTTGCAGCGCCCCAGAACCATCCCTCACCTGCTGATGCAGCCTCATCCAGGTAATCTGAGCTGTGCCTCTCACAGGGGGAGCTGTTGGTGCAGGTGACATGTCGGCCTGGGACCGGGCTGGACCGCCTGTCTTCACAGCCCACGCCTGTAGGGGGCAGGGGGCTCCGCTTTGCCCACAGGCTGCACTGACTTTGGTGTGTCTGGGCCCCTCAGCTCTTGCCTTCCCTCTGGTTCCTGCCAAACCATCGTCCTTACCTATTCCTCAAATGTTTGTCTTCACACCCCGTGATGTGCAATCTGGGTTTCCCTGGTGGCTCAGCTGGTAAAGAAACCGCCTGCAATACAGGAGACCCTGGATTCATTCCTGGGTTGGGAAGATCCCCTGGAGAAGGGACGGGATACCCACTCCAGTATTCATGGGCTTCCCTGGGGGCTCAGATGGTAAAGAATTCGCCTGCAATGCGAGAGACCTGGGTTTGATCCCTGGGTCGGGAAGATCCTCTAGAGGAGGCCATGGCCACCCACTCCAGTATTCTTGCCTGGAGAATCCCATGGAGAGAGGGGCCTGGTGGCTGCAGTCCATGGGGTCTCAAAGAGTCGGACACGACTGAGCGACTCCGCACTCACACACACTGAGTAAGCTATGTACAGAGCATACAGACATCCTAAGTGATGCTCCTTCCCGTGTAAGCAGCACCCGGATTGAGAGATGCACCCTCACTGGAGCCTGATGCCCCCTCACACTCCTCTCCAACCTCTCTCCCCTCACCTCCAAAACTAACTGCTCTGCTGGTTTCTATGTGACCAGACGCCCTGGAGAGATGGGCAGTGGCGGGGTGGGGCGGGGGGACTCTGGCCAGAAGTCAGGGTGGTCAGATACGGAGGGTGGGGCCCCGTAAACGCCTGGCAGAGCTGGGCGCTTTGGGAAGCAAACAGTTTAGTGCTGCGTGTGACTTCAGGGTGGGCACGAACCTGAGGCGAGTTAGGTCCAACTGCCTCCCCGCATGCGAGGAGGGAGCCCAGTGGGAGTTAGCCTGCCACGAGTGCCTTGCTGTCCCCGAGTGTCGCCCGTGTGGGGCTCCGGGTCCCTTCCCTGTGGCCGGGGCTCGATGTGGGGTCTGAAGGCCCCCCAGGGAAGGGTGCTCAAGCCGGGCTGGTCTTTGCTCATCCAACATGAATCGCCCGTTTCTGGCTGAGCCCGAATGGCTGGGTTTGGTTGATGTGACCTTCCTGCCACTTGCTTTGTAACTGTTCTACATGTGCTGGCCAAATGAAAGGGGGAAAATTCCAGGGCAGCGATGTCCAGTGAGCTGTGACCTGGATTCCAGTCTCACATGCGCGGAGCGCCTGAAACTCCACAGTGAGAGCCTGGGGGGCGGGCGGGGTGGGGGTGCTGAAGCGCATTTCTTGAGGAGCAAGTATGAGTGGCATGGCCCGTAAGTCCGGGCTCAGAGCGGCCTGGCAGCCTGTCACTTATCCACATTCCGCAGAGCAAGTCGGACCCACGGGGTGGGGCTCAGCCTCCGGCCTCGACGGGAGGCAGGGCAGTCACCTGGGCAAGCGCGGGGCTCAGAAAGTGCTGAGAAACGGGGCCCCTGCGCGGGGGAGCTGCTGGGAGACCCGGGCACCACACTGATCTCAGCCAACGGGACCACCAGGATTAGCCCGACGTGTCTCGGAGGTCTCTCAGAGGCTGCTCGACGTCAGTAAAGGGAGCCAAGCTTATGAGGTGAGCTGGGCTCTGACCCCAAGACTCCTAGGGTATGTGATGCCAGAGTTCAGCAACGGCACCTCTGTCTGACGTTTTACCTTAGCCCCTGAGGTGAACACTGTTTTAACTGCTCAATAATTTAGCCCTCCCCCGCATTAAAACATTGCAGGTAGAACTGGCGCCTTCTGGTGATGAACCAGCCCCACGGTGGCTCCCTGGGCAGCGCTGTGGCACACCCCCAGGGTCAGCCTGTATGGTGTCAGGGCCCAACTGAAGGTGGGAAATAGTTCCCTCGTTTTTCCCCATAGCTGGAGTAATGCAATTATAATCATTGATTTTATATAGAACCAGATGTTGCCTACTCATCATCTTATCACAGAATCAGTCATATATTTGGTAATGTAAGAAAGAGCAATCTTGTAAAACAGTATACAAGTTATACAGTTAGTAGCATTAGTAAGGTAAGAATTAGTAGGATTTTTAGCCAAGAGCTTCTATTAGGTGTGGCCTGGTATGTTCCCAGGTCATCTGCCCCAGTCTGTCCCATACCAATCCCTGCCTTTAAGGGAAAGGATATATAGGCATTGTATAAGAAAGCCAGTCCTATTTCCTGGTTTTAGTAGGCTGATTATCCTTAGTATGGTTTAATTGTTCCCAACATAAGGACGGTGAGGTTAAATTGAAATGACTGTAGCCTGGTGTTAACCATATAATTTCATCCCATGACAGAGAGAGGTTATATTCTTTGACTAAAATTTAACACATTGCTCTGATTGAGCTTGAGTAATTTTAAGACAAAATTCACATTTATGGCCACAGTCAGAGCAGCTGTGATTAATTAGCCAAGTGAAGGAGTCCCATCTAGTACTCTCAATAGTGGCCCAAATAGAACTATAACTTATTTCTTCCAAAATAAATTTTGTAAGGGCCATCCAATTAGAGCCTTGGAGAGGAGAAATCACTAAGGTAACTCAGAAGTACTGGAAGTAGATACTTGATCATAAACCCAACAGTTGGATTAATTTTTATACTCTACATGGGATTGTGCTCATGATAGAAAAAATATTAGATTCATATGCAAAAGTTCAAGAAATAAAAAAAAAAACAGTATAAACTATCATGCAGGTCAAGTCCAGCTTCGTGAGATGGCTCTCTACTCTTGATGCTGTCTTCTTGCTCTGGTGTGTGTGTGCAGTTTCTATTCTGTTTCAGCATTGTTTTAAGGTAATTTTGAGGTCCACAGTCCTTTCTAGATACCAGTCTAGTGCGATCTATCTTTCTCAATAGGAAATACGAGTCCAAGAGTCAACCCCCTTTAGTTTTGTTGTGCATGAGCTAGTTAATAGTACCTGGTCAGGGTCCTTCCATGTAGTTTGGAGATAGTCTTTAAATGATGTCTTTTTCACTATCCTGGTTTCTAGCCATGGGACATCTAATCTTAATCAACAGATTACTGTGATAAGCTTAAGAAACAATCTTACAGTGTCTTTTAATAACTCAAACTTTACAGTGATGTAACAGCAGCAAGGAGCCAGCTAAGAAGTGGGTCTTAGACAAAAAACACTAGAATTTAATATCCACAAAGATATATTGCTGAAACACAGTTTTTTTATCTCTAAAATTGCCCTGATTTTTACCAAATATCACCAGATTAAGACTAATTTGCTTGCAAGTAAGTCTGGCTTCAAGAAACTTGGCCTGATTATTCACATTTGTTGTTATTGTTCAGTCTCTATGTGTCTGACTCTTTGAGACCACATGGACTGCAGCACGCCAGGCCTCCCTGTCCTTCACCATCTCCTGGAGCTTGCTCAAACTCACGTCCATTGAGTCGGTGATGCCATCCAACCATCTCATCCTCTGTCTCCCCTTTCTACTCCTGCCCTCCATCTTTCCCAGCATCAGGGCCTCTCCCAAAAAGTTGGCTCTTCACACCAGGTGCCCAACATACTGGAGCTTAGCATCAGTTCTTCCAATGAATATTCAGGGTTGATTTCCTTTGGGTCTGACTGGTTTGATAAATAAAGCCTTAAAAGAGATTTAAGTCATGTGCTTCTGGAGCCAAACCAACTCCCAAAGTGATCGCCAAGTTTGAGAAATGAAACATTTAAGGTAGAAATCTGATTTTTTTTAATCTGTCATTAAATGTGCAACATTAGAGGATTCTTCTGGTATGAAAATGCAGCATTCAGTCTGAATTATAATACAGGTGCCTCCTTGAGATGCTGTCAGGGTATGGAGGGCCATGTGACTTTGTAATGCAGCTTTCTTCATCAGAGACCTCAGAGTCCAGTAGGCTAATAACCTGGTTACTCTCGTTTAAGATCTTTTGGGTGAATTCTGTTAAGGCTTCAATGTGGGCATGGATACATCCATGTAGACACAGACAGAGGTCTCACAGGTTTAAGTTTAAAATTTAGTCATGAAGCGGGTGTTACAATATAAAACTCACTAGCTTATAAATAACAGGTTGAATACGTTTACATGCTTGAGTTTAAATTAAAAGCCACTCCCCACCCCCAGCCCTGCCTTCCCCGCTCAGTCTGAGGAATCAAGGTTGGCCTACATACCCTCTTCCACAAAGTCACATATATGCTGATCTCCCCTTTTATCCCCTGACAGCAATTCCCAGGGCTCTCTGAGAGGCTATCGCCTGCACCGTTGTCCTCATTCAGCCCCCAGTAAAACTGAAACTCATAGATCTCATCGTGGCCTCTTTTTTCCTCAGTATTGATAGTTCGTAGACCAAAAGTGTTCACTATGTTCCAAGTGAAAATCAGCAGAGAATGTCCCACATGTGGTCACATTGTGGTGAAATCTTTCCAGTGTAATGTCAAACAAAAAATCCTGTAAGCATTTAGGCAGGAAAAATCGTTTTTTAATATATGATCAAAGTCAGACTAGTTTCATACATCTTTAGAACATTCAGCACCTGAAAAGATTATAGTAATTAATAGTTTCAGAAGAAATGATACTTATCTGGGAATTTATTCCTTAGTCATGTGATGTGTGAAGGCAATTAAAAGATGGACATGAAAACGTCTTTTATTTTAAAACGTAAAGCAGTTTTCCTCCAATTCAAAAGAAATTTAAAGAAATGAGCATAAGAATATATACCAAGAAAAAAAAGAAAAACAAAAATTGCTTGGAGACACACCACTTAAGGAATAGTTCAAAATTAGCTCAAGAACAGGAAAGCACATATAAAAGATTCATGGACTTCGCTTCTTTAATTCAAATAAAAACTTAGTGGACCGTGTTGTCAGGGTGAATTCTCCTGCACTGATTCTTTCGGGATTTTCTTTGATTGATTGTTTTTTGTTTTGCCATCTCTGCTTTCTTAATAGAAGTAAATTTCTTTCTTGATCACTGCATTCAGTTGGAATTTCCCCCTCATATTTGATTACTATTTGAAACATTAAATGCGAAATGATGACAGTAGGGCAGTCGTTCCATCTAGTGCTTAAAACTAAACCTGCAAGCTTGATATGTTTTGCTAGAGGAATCACTAATCAGGAAGATTAACTATTGGATTTTTTGCAGTATCAGAGTTTTCCACAACAGGTTAATTGAACCTTGAGATAGGCCAACATTTCTTAAGCCCCAAAGAGTGCTTAGCATAAAGGAAATGATCAATACACTGGACAACATTTAAAATCAAGAACCTGTTTTCTTTGAAAAACACCATGAAAGGAATTAAAAGACAAGTCACAAAGTAGGGGGAGATTTTTACAACATAAATAACTGACAATGGGCACATGTCCAGAATATACAGAGATTTATTTCAAATTAATAAGTAGGAAATTGCCTAATGCAAAAATGGTCAAGAAAGGTGAAGTGGACAGTTCACAAGAAAATAACCAAATGACCAATACATACATGAAAAAATGCTCTCCTTCATTAGTAACAAAGGAAATGGAAATTAGAACCACAGTGAATACCATGCCCGATTCACCAGTACAGAAGCAACTGAAGACGACCTCAGTGAAAGTGTCCCACCTGAGAAGCATGTGGAATCTCGGAGCGCTCGCGTCCTGCTGAGGGTGTGGAAGCTGCTAGTATTTACTGAAGATGAAAATGCAGATACTCTGTGGCTGACACTTTCACTTGTAAGTTATTGTGTTGATACTATTGGGTGAGGGATGCCAAAGACATAAGAATGATAGTCTGATTCTGTTCCCATAAAATCAGAAGACCAGAGTTCAAGTCAGCGGGGGTAGGAGTCGCCTTGGAGGAGGAGGGTGGCGTGGGAGGGTTTGGGGGAGCTCCAAATACTGTTAATATTTTCTTTCTTACACTCGATGGTAGGTACAGGTCGTGTTCATTGAGTTCTACACTTGGCGTTTGTGCACTTTAACTTATAGCTATGCTTCAATAAGGAAGCCAAAGAGTGAAAACCAAATATGCCTAGAAAAAGCTATCCATTTTCTGCATCTCTTACCCAAGCGTCACACTGGCTTCCCCATTAGCACTCCTGCAGGTGTCATCTTTGAGAAGCACGATTCTAACCTCAGGGTTTCACTGCTCATCTGCCTTCAGGCACCCCCATTGCTCAGGGTCATGGGTGTGGCCAACCAAGCCCTCCTCACGCTGACCCCACAGTGATGTACTCAGCTCCTTCCCCCTTCACACTCCAGGGACCCCTAACACCTTGTCATTAGGGTACCCATGGTGCAAGGCCCAGCTGAAGCTTTATCATCCACATGAAACAGTTCAGTTCATTCCCTCAGTGGTGTCCAACTCTTTGAGACCCCGTGGACTGCAGCACACCAGGCTTCCCTGTCCATCACTATCTCCCAGGGCTTGCTCAAACTCACATCCATTGAGTCAGTGATGCCATCCAACATCTCATCCTCTGTCATCCTCTTCTCCTCCTGCCTTCAATCTTTCCCAGCATCAGGGTCTTTTCCAATGAGTCAGTTCTTTGCATCAGGTGGCCAAAGTATTGGAGTTTCAGCTTCAGCATCAGTCCTTCCAATGAATATTTAGGACTGATTTG